TATGGTTACATCCCTACTGACACACTGCGCAATTTTCTCCATGTTACACAGGGAGTGTATTAGGGTAGAGATAGTGTTGTGTGTGTCTGTGTATGTGTCTAAGTATGGGGTCAGAGATATACTTACACTCAGGAGCAGGCACTTGTTTTCCTTGATGGCACCCAGGCAACCGAGGAAGCCGGTCACCATGACGATGGCGCCTATAGCGATGACAAGGTTGGCAGCGGAGAGGGAGGGGAAGGAGGGCGAGAAAGTGGCAAAGCTGCCCTGAGACACTGCCAACCAGATCCCTACACCCAGCAGTCCACAGCCACACAACTATATATGTATAGAGAGAGAGAGAGAGAGAGAGAGAGAGAGAGAGAGAGAGATGGGTTAACATGCTAAAATTAATGTGACATTTGGAAATTAACACATCACAGATCCTGATTTGACATGAATATGTTTCTAGTTTGTTTCTACCTTTTAAAAATTTATGTCTATCAAGAGACATCTCCTTTCACTCCATTACACCTGCACAACAGTCCCAGACAGGTAATGAAAATGATTTCACCTCTGCCGAAAGCATTTTAAACTTAGGATTCAGTACAGAATGTGTCTCTGTTGCAACTGAGAGACTTCAGATACTTTTTCACCTCAGACACAGATAATAAAACTTTACTAGGGAGGTGGAAAGCTGCCTACCACCACTGTCCCATCTGCACATGCTGACAGGCCAGCTCCAGCATTTTTACAGAGATATAGTTTGTATAAGTGTGTCAGTGAGAGAGCGAGAGAGACGGACTGAGAGAGATATTAAGGGACTGAGTAAATACATAGGAGTCTGAGTGTGGTGACAGCGGATGTATGTGTGAAAAAAGGAGATGTAAGCTTTGGAACCGGTGACTGACAGCCTCAGCTGATCCTGGGCTTGTTTTCTTCATGGATCACATATAACACAGATAGAGAGAGGGTATGGAGTCGAACAAACAAGTCGTGTAGGGAGGAGACGGTTGACATTTCCCTGGCCACTAATGGAACAATATCCAACACAATCACCTTCTGTATAAGAAATCCCATGCTGCAGTGATACACAATCAGGCACCATGCAGTAAATCACATCATTGCCATGTCTGTCTCAGTTTACCGCTGCTCAGCGGAGCATTACAGTACATTATCGTTAAATGCTAACAAACCCACAGCATGCTGAGGCTAATCGGCAAGCCCTCACGCTGATTTCCAACTCTTTCAGACACAATGAATAAGTAATGGCGCCCACATATAGTCTTCCCAAGCACTGTAATTGAGCTGGCAGGTTCTGTTCTCTCCATAACAGTGACCAGCGCACTTAAGCATAAATAGAGCTCTTCATTTGAAGCATGGTGTAACGAACACCTTTAGTCATGATTGATTCGGTAATCCGTCACCCTTTCTGCTGAGTTTCCCACAGCATCAGAGATTAAAACCTTTGTGCATTTCACTTTTGGCAGCTGAGAGTGGGTGCTGATGCTATGTTTGATGAAGAAGCACTTTACCAGGTTTGGTTGAGAGTAAGAGAAATGGCTTGGCCTTCACTGAATTACAGAGTCAGAGTGCATCAGCAATTATGCAAGACCTCCAGCTCAACCCTTACGTTTACATTGCTAACATTCATCAGTTCTCAACTGTTTGACATGCCGAGCACATGCACACTCACTCAAATTTGATTGCTTTCTCTGTAAATTAATCCAGAAATGAATGATTGTGTAATGTTTGCTTTGTCTCTACCTCTTTTAAACCCTGTACTCCTTATAGTGTGCAATCATACAAGATTTATATTAATTACAGGTCTGGCATCCTTACTTTCGTTTTAACAGTCAGAACACATCCATCAACATCAACCAGCTCTTTTGCAAGCTCCTTAGATCAGAAACTCAGGGCAATATGCCACATTTGACTCCCAAAGTCCCATGTCTGATTGAAAAGCCTGCAAGTCTCTGAGGCATTATGAAAAACCAGACAGAAGAGGACGGGACAGCGAGAGAGTGCATTAGTGCAAAAGAGTGGAGGTGAGAAGGAGAAAGACAGAATGAGGAAGAGAGATGGATGCAGAACAGAAAGCACAGTGGGACAGAGGATGCAATGAAAAGATGAAATAAGAGTAGAAGAATTGAGTAAATACTGTATGACACTCGTTCGGGAAGACGAGAACTCCATAATGGTGCATTAGCAGCATGTTGTGAGGGGGACCTTAACGGACGCTTTGTTCTTTTCTGATGAGTCTTGCAGGTGGGAGAGTGAAAAAGGGAAGTAAAAAAGGTAGAAAAATAAACTATAGAGTGCTGTGTGCTCAGCTCTCTGAACAACCTTCATCATACTCTGTCGCACCTACTCGATGCCCCTTTTGTCTTTTTTTTCCTGTTTCACTTTCTTCTTGTTCTCTTAAGTCTCTATTTGTTTTTTTTTAACTTGTATCCTTATTTAATGGTGTTCTAGTCAAAGAGCTGAGTAAAACACAGCATGAGAATCAAACTAATTGTTGCAAATAAAATAAATTCACATGTGAACCAATCATCCTCAAGCTTATCTTCTTGCACACATATTAACATGGATCTCAGGCTATAATAAAGAATTCGGCCACTGGCTGTCAGTCATAACTCCACTTTAAGGCCAATCACATACTCCTCAAAAAAATCTCTTCTACACATGTGAGAATATGAGTCTATGCAAGCACATGTTTGTGATGGTTTGCATGAAAATGTGATTGCATCCCTAATGCTACATTGTCCTGTTTATTTCAGGGTATATGTGGCATTTGTTTATTGTAATGCAGATTTATTACCTGACTTCCGCAGGTCCACAACTGTGTTGAAAGCTTTTTGGTTTTCTCCATGGTGGTAGATGACAAATGGCTTTCACATGTGTACAACCTCATACACTATATGGCCAAAAGTATGTGGACACCTGACCTTCACACCTATATGTGCTTGTTGAACATCCCATTCTAGATTTGGTCCCCCTTTGCTATTAAAATAGTCTCCACTCTTCTGGGAAGGCTTTCCACTAGGACGTGGCTGTGGGCATATGTGGCCATTCAGCCACAAGAGCATTAATGAGGTCAGGCACTGATGTCAGGTGAGAAGATCTGTCATGCAGACAGTGTTGAAATCATAGCTTTGTGCAGGCCACTTCAGTTCTTACACACCAACATGCTGGAACAGCATGGGACATCTTAATGCTACAGCATACAAAGCCGTTCTAGACAATTCTGTGCTTCAAACTTTGTGGCAACAGTTCGGGGAAGGCCCACATATGGGTGTGATGGTCAGGTTACTGTCTGTGTGCATTTTCACATGTTCTCTCCATGTCCATGTGGGTTTCCTCTGGGTGCTCCAGTTTCTTCTCTCCTCCCAAAAACAAGCTGGTAGGGGAACTGGTGACTCTAAATTGCCCCTTGGTATGAATATGTGTGTGCACTGTTCTTTGCAATGGACTGGCATCCCATCCTGAATGTATTCCCACATTATGACATTGCTCCCAGGATAGGCTCCACCTGCACCATGCACTTTATCCTGATAAGGATAAAGTGGGTGCAAATAATCCTGGAGATGACTGTGGGATCAGAGAACAGGGTCAGCCACGATACGGCACCCCCGTAGCAGATGTGGTTAAGGGCCTTGCTCAAGGGCCCAACAGCAGCAACTTGACAGTGCTGGGGCTTGAACCCCTGAACTTCTGATCAGTAACCGAAAGCCTTAATCGTTCAGCCACCACTGCCCCATAAATGCTCATGTCAGAAGTGGGATTTGAACCCACGCCTCCATTCAGAGACCAGAACTTGAGTCTATAAACAATAGGATATAGTAAAGATGGAAAACCACATTCCATCAAGAGTATTTATGAAAACCTGCCAGACAACAATATAAAAAGGTAAAATAATAACAGTAAAGAGAGCAAACAGCAGCAAAACCACATCCACAAAGTCCATTAATAAACTGCAGGAAGAACTGCTCTTCCTCTTCCTGTCTCTCCTCCCACACTGGGCTCTTGATGTTTGCTAAGTGTGAAGAATGGAGTTATGACAGAGCCAAGAACAAACACACAAAAAACTGTTTGTTCCTGGAAAAAAGAAAGCATACAAGTGAGAGGCATCCGCAGAGACTGCAGAGGTGGGCATGAGAGCAAAGAGGTGCAGGAGTAGGAAAGATGGGTGAATCTGACTGGGTAAATGGAGCATTACGAGAGCCAGGCTTTCCACTCAAGGTCAGTTTAATTGACGCTAAAGACTCTAGTAAAGCACAAGAGAGAGATAAAAAGGCTTCATGGCCTGTCTACTAGCTGGCTTATCAACTGCTTCAGTAGCCTTCTCTGTCACAATGCAGCCACCTGAGGAGAAATGCCACTTTAACCTTCCTGCAAGTGTGTATATATGAGAGTGACAAAATGTCAGTAGAAACAGTGCAGAAGCTTTTCATTTCCTGGCTTAAGAAGAGGTCAGAAGGAGTGTGTCCTATAAACCAACTGTAATGACTGTTTTTTGTCAGCCTGACCTCTGGATTTAGTTCTTTTTTAAAAAAAAATTTATTTCACATTTGTTCCTCCAAAGGTGTGCGGAAAACACTGCCTGTGTCTGTAAACAAAAACTAAAGCTGCAACTGACCCTCAGTTTGATCTTTTCAAATAGGCCAGAGCTTCAGTATAAAAACACAGAAGATAATCCACTGAAAAGTAAAGGAAGCACTAAACCAAACTTTTGTTAACGCCCCAGAGGCATGTGTGGTCACTAAAGCAAATCCTGTAGCTTTAATCAGAATTAGGATTAACTGGACATGAAATAATTTGTTATGGCTGCTGTGAAATTGATACTTTTGGTTCATTGCTATTTGGTTTGGTTTAGTTTCAGACTACACATGATTAAACAAACCAGAAGTCTAAAATCATTGTCTGAGGGGTGTGTAGAGCTGAATTCATACTCGTAAAATTTGGCTCAGTTTGCACCTCACAACTCACTTTAACAGCTTGCATCTAAAAAAAAAAAAACACTGCCCTCCAGTCAAAACACATGGCATGTTTAGTCCACTTCCTACAGTTGGATCGATTCAGGGTTAAATCACTTTCTCACAGCAACTGAACCGCACTATAGTTCCTCGCTCAGACTCTCGGACTGGACCTGCACAAATGTAATGCACCAAAGAGGGAAATGCACCACGGGTTGATTCAAATGGACTAAACACTGCATATGCAAAAACACCCCATGAATGATTAAAGCCTGGCTCATATTTTAAAGATTATTTGAAATATGCTGTCCTAATAACTCCTGTTGTTTGGTAAGCATCAAATCAGTACTGAAGTGGCAGGCCCTTTATAAGGAGTTGCAGTTATCCATCATTGATTTTACGCTGAAGAAACAATTGCCATACAGGGACTCCAAGCACTAAGAGGAAAATGACATTCCATTAGCAGGTAAAATCTTGCTCAAATACTCACTAAGCCTTCATTACTGATAGCCTGAGACGTGATGGCGCCTTGGAAGGACTAAAGTGCTACTTTCCATTAGCCTACCGTTTTAAAATGATATTTGTGGTGTAGAGATATATGAAATACCTTTAAATTACCAACCTTCATGATGACTGAAACTTAAAAGAAAATTAAAATGTCTCTTTGATAAAGTGGCTGAATGAAAAGGTTTAGGTCGACCAGATATAACTTTCCTTTTAGCTTCCAGTCAAACTCAATAAAATGCAGACAATTTCTCAGCTCTGCCTCAGTTTGGGAATGTCACTCAAAAAACAATTCAGGAAAAGGAACATCAAGTCCACTAGTGAATAAAACTGTTCAGCTGGATGGGAGTTAAACTTATATACCTACATAAAAGAAGCATTAAAATCATATATAAATATAGATTTCTAATAGCAGCTAACAAACTCTTTCTTCACTCATTTTTGAATGTCTGATTCAATTTTAAGAAACTTGAGAAATCTTAGAGGAAAAAAAATGGACTTGATGAATATAATTGTATCATAAAACACATCTTTCCAATGCAGAAAACTTTCCTCCAATTGGGGGCACATTTGTTTTTGTATTTGACAGAGAAATAATCAAACTGCAATATTGTATGCATTGAATGCAAAAATAACCTTGTTACAGTGTAGATTTAATTCCTAATACACAAACATGGTACATTGGTTATGAAATAATTAAACTATAAAACTATTTCAGGCAAATGTTGGCCTGTAGCTTAACATAAACAAAAAGGCCTATAAGCCTAAGGATATTATTTTAACACTGAGAGCCATCTAGTATATCCCTGCAGTCATTTTTAAAATTTGTCTGTTACGTGTACAGATAGAATGAATAGGATTTTCAAGCTGGGGCTGTAAACGCTGTTATTGATGTTTACTTCAGCCAGTGTTGCTCTGCTGAGAGATCAAGTGATTGTACACGGTTCATTCTTGAATGATTCAAGAGTGAAATGTGGTGAGCAAATTTGATGCTACAAGACCTATTGAAATATTGGTAAACATGGACTTTCAATTTGCTCATTTTCTACTGGACTTCCTATGATGCACTGTAACACATGCCTAAGCAGTAGCTAATAGTAGTAGTTAAATACCACTAATGTCAAAATCAACCAAATCAAAAAGAATCAAAGAGAGTCCCTGATTATAGGCTGATGGCTGGTCTTGATATTAGATAAGAAAGCTGAAATCTAATATCCGTCAATAGTTTGACAATGAAACTATTCAGGTTGTTGAAACTATGGTGCATTATATCAAGAAGTCTCACTGATGGCATAATGAGCATGATGTGGAGCAAACAGCAGTATCACACACACACAAACAAACCAGATAGGCAGCTGCATTTGTGATTTCTAATTTTTTTTTAAGTGTTTCAAGTCTGTAATGCTGTCCTGGCTCCATGCCGTGCTTCCAAACAAACAGAAAACAGAAAAGCTATAAGCCTTTAATTCAAAACAAACGGCGCTACACTTATGGTTCTGTCACTTGTCCTTTTGTGTGATTTGTATTTTCATTGAACAATGTGTGCTTAGTCTACCTACTTTTAGTTCCTCTTTATTAGTTCATTACACCCACAACTGTATTTCACATGCATCGTCTCAATCACTGCAGATGATGTCTTACAGATGTCTCAATGACTTGGGCTGAAGAATATCAGTGCACATGGAGACCAAATCTACGAGGCATTTCACTCTGAGTAATCAACTTGACTCTCAATACAGTCTGAGCTAGAAAGAAATCAGCCCCAGCCTCACTTCTTCATACCATTCTGTGTATTTTTATTATGACCATTGGCGGCGCTGTTGCTCTTGGTTCCACAAAAGTCCACTTTAAGGCACTTGTTAACAGCAAATAATCTCATGTGGACACCACAAATGAAACCTTGTACTGATGTCTTTTTAATCTTTAAAAGACACCAGACACCAGAACACATACCAGAACACAGCATCTCTTGATGAGCACGAGCACCTTGAGTTATTCCGCTGTCACGTTACCAAATACAAAACAACCATGTAACATGATAAATGTATCTTGTCTCAGCTCTCAAGTGAAGCCATCCTACCCTAAGGCCTCCACACAGTGTGTGTCTGGCACGTGCTGTGGTGCAATTTTCCAGGCCTGACACTGCGCTGCTTCAGAAAGCAAGCTGCCCTTGAATTATTCAGTATGTCTCTGGGAAATGGAGAGCAGCAGGCTCTTACTGAAAATCAACACAGAAATCCTTCAAATTCAGATAGATGTGTGATGGAAGATTAAAAAGCAATGTGCTAATTTTTAAACCTCGAAATGGGACAGCTGATCCCTGTGGTGACCTGGCGAATAAAGTCAGATTACAACCAGAGCCGTGCTGATGAGAGAAAAGTCTCTTAGCAGGAGCTCTGCTGTAAATGAAATCCTGACACAGTGGCAGAAACACAAATACAGATAAACGTTCAAGAAGCCAGAATTTTGTAATAAGTATGAGTGTAATTTAAATAATCAGCCATATTTGTGAGAGCTCAGAAATGGTGGTAAAAAAATAAAATGAAAGAACTTCTTGTCTGTCTGACACATCCAGCCACTGGCTTATTTCTAGATAGCAAAGCTTTTCATTATTAAAGAACGCTCTCACTCTCTTAAAGAAAATCTTAATCCAGAATGCTATATAGTGAGTAGTTGTGCTGAGGCCAGAGATGCACAACCTCCTCACACAGTAGCCAGTCTCTGGGGCTTTCAGCTTTTCTGTGGGTATCAGACCAACACTTTGAGGTGATGAAAAGGCTGTTTAGTGATTCAGAATCAATCAGAGCATCTGTGCTAAGAGGCAGCTGTCTCAGCTGTCACCTGCCTTCTAGTAGAAAGAAAGACGGGGGGTGGGCGGAGGTGGAAGAAAAGGGGACAGTGTGTGTGTGTGTGTGTGTGTGTCTGTGTGTATGCATGGAAGGGCACTGAAACAAAAAATAATCTATTACAAACTATTCACCGCTGTTGGCTCATTTTTGCAGCTCTGTGGATCTTTGGCAGCCCAGCAGGACTCTTCTGTCACTGGATGCCATAGGCACCTTAATTATGGACTGAAAATAATGAAAGTCATGCAGATAGTAATGAGTGCTGCTCTGGCTTGTGACATTTCATAAACACAGGTATAAACTGCAGCTTTTAGAGCATGTAGTATATCTGATACTCACAGGCTTGCTGAGAATAGATGAGGCACAGAAGACATACTGCTAAAAAGACTCTGTAGAGTCATGAGAGTCAGAGAAAGTCAGAGGGAAACTTG